TTTTTTTTGGTGGGGGGGGGGGTGAGTTGAAGAATGTGTTCGACTGAATGGGTCTCATTCTGTCTTCTGAAACTTTTTAGACCATTAGTACAGAGAGTACACAGGAGTTATCATGGCTTTAAGTGTTATGGCATCCAGAAACTTTTGAATGACTCTGTTCTACCTTACATTCAGAAATATGAAAACCAGAGAGTCATCCATGAGAACACTGAGCAATTTTTATTTAAGTAAGAAGGGCTTGATTTAGGTGCCTAGACCTGGATTTTAACATTAAGCACCCAGATTAAAAAATGATGACTTAAAAGCAAATTTGTTTGCATCTCCTGCTGTTAACTCAAGTAGCAGAATAGCTTCTTAACTACAGATGTAGAAATGTAGTATGGGATGCCTGTAATAGATATCACTTGGAATCCTGTCCTAACAATTCACAAATGATGTGCTATGTGATAAAAGTGCACTGTAGCAAGCTTTATCAATCCTGGTAGTCAATATATATGCAAATCTTTGGTTTATCACCACTGGATTTCTCGCTCCCTAATGGTGAAAGAAGGGTATTCTTCTGTCTTGCCTCTCTTGGATACTGGTTTTGTTTTACTGTATATCAATGGGGGTTGGTTTTTGGATTCTGTTAATGGCCTAGCATAGGAACTAACTCAGTGCTGACTCATGTTAGAGTCTTGAAAATCCAGGGTGGAGCTCCTATGCTAGGCCATTAACTCAGTGCTGACTCATGTTAGAGTCTTGAAAATCCAGGGTGGATTGATTTAAATTAAATCACTAACTTCACTCAGTAAGCAGAAAATTTAAAATCACCAGTTTCAATCAAGGTCATGTTCTGTATTTATGCATTTTAGTTATTTTCTTAAAAATTGATTTTCTTTGGTGACCATTCAAACATGTTGATTTAAAACTAAATATAACTTTCACACTAAGCAACTATGCACGCTAAGCAACTATACACACTTACATAGCATTAAATAGCTTAATTTAGATTTGTTCAGGCTTTTATTTTTTATGTCTATGTTACGGTAGAAAATCGTGAATGGTAGTTCTTTTTTTACTAGATTAATGTTTTACTTGCAATTTATGTCTCTCAAATTGCAAGCTCTGTTGGGATGGAAATTTAATATACTGGTGTTATGCCTTAATTGACTTTTTGTATTAAACTACTTTAAATGTGCCAGACAAAGTAGTAAAAATACTATTATCAAAACATATTGCATTTAATAAATACATTTTAAACAAAGGAAGTTTTCTCTGTAGTTAGTGAATTGAATTGGTGGTATATTATCACATCCTTCAAGATTTTACAGTGATTAACTCTTATCCTCTTGTACCAAGGTTTTATTTATAGGGTGGGAGCGGTTGGGGGAGGGAGATGGGGAAAGCTTTCTTGCTTGTTCAAAAACCATCTGGTTTCTTAACTTAAACTAGTCTTTGAACTGAACTTGTTAATCAAAATAAAATGTAGAGCATGTTCCTTCTGCACTTGCAGAAAAGGCTATTACTGTCAAAAGCTGTCAGTGCTTCAGCAAACTTTGGCTCTAGATGCCTCACCAGTGGCTCAAACTGAACTGGTGGAACTTGGCAGGAAACACCCACTGGTTAGTATCATGTTTTGTACTTAGTTTTAATGATTTTAACAGGTTAGCAAAAGTTTATTCTCCACCTTGTGGAGTTCTGTAATTGGCACTTTATTTCTGAGATCCAGGTAGAATAAGTGAATTATCAGTTGTATGTGGACTTCACAAGCTGCAGGAAAAGCTCTGAGCAACATGTAGCTCAGGTTGATAATGCCTTATTCTTACTTTCAAAGCGGCAGCATCGCATGGAGCCTACAGTCAGCTGGGGACTCTACAACTGACCCTGGGCTCCATGCTCTGCTGCTGCTTTGAAATGCCGTGGGGAGCCCAGTGTCAGGCTCCTTTTGTCATTTCAAAACAGCAGTGCCCAAACAGCCTGGCGTCATCTGGACACACCCTTGCTGACCCTGGGCTCCATCAGGCGCTGCCACTTTGAAATGCCACGTGCAGCCTGGGAACTCCCCAACTGGCCCTGGGCTGCATGCAGCGCTGCCACTTTGAAGCACCCCAATTTTTCTCCTCCCCTTCTCCCCCCCCTTTGCTGCCTCTTTCTGATAGACAGCAATGGGGGAGGGGGAACTAGTTAACTAACATGTTGACTATCCAATAAGCAATTTCTGAAGGGATATTCAACTCGTCATTCACATCCCTAGTAAAGATATCATTGGAGTAACTTGGGTAACAGATAAAGATTTGTGTAGTATTTGACGAGGGGAAGGAACAATAAACTTATAATGGATAAATGAGTAGTATCTAGGCTATGGGGTCATTTTTCTGGACTCTAGAGAGTACTTGGATTATTTTTAAATGTAAGGGGTTTTATACATTATGTATTTTAATCTTCTTTTAGTGCAACTATTTTTTACTATTCATATAAATGCCTAATCATTTTGAATTCTAATATCTTGAGATCTTATGGTAGTGAATGTCCCAAGTGGCTTATACATTGTGTTAAATTACCTTTGAGTTTTAAAATGTGTCCATTCTTTGACTTCATTGTCTGTTCTCATTTTTTAAACGAATTATCTGCATAGGCTATGAAAATCCTTGGGTATCAATTCAAAGCTTGCTTAATTGACAGTTTAGCATCTGGATTGTTGACCATACGGAAATTTGTAAATTTTATATAAATGCTACATGTGTGCAGCAGATTGATAGGCTTAGAAATTTGCAGGAAATCTTTACTACTCTTCATGAAGGCTAGCTAATTTGAGAGTGCCTGAAGTGCCTGAAGTGCATGAAGGCTAGCTAATTTAAGACTCATACAGTCTTAGAAATCCACCCTCTGGTCCCTACACAAAACCCCCTAAAGACTTCTACCGAAGGCTCATCCCCTGCTACAATTCCTAAATACTTATTGTGGTTTGAGTAGTGAATTCTAAAACTAACCACTTCTTGCACTGTTTGTTCTTGCCATTGTCAGTGGTTCCTTGCACTCCCAAATATCGTTTGATTTCATTGCTCTGTTCTGTGCAAAGGCCTTGTTGAACAAGTTAATTTCAAAGTAAATATTTACAGATACATTTTACAGCTGAAATTGGAGGAAGGCTGTAATGTAAACGGTAACTAATGGTACAATGGAAACCCATATAAGCATGCATCAGTATTAAACTAGTGCAATGTTTGCAGCAATTCTCTACTTGAAGAATGAAGAAAATATACAGTAAGATGTACAATAAATTCCTATGAATGATAGTAATCTTGTAAGTAGTGTTCTAATGAAATATTTTGTATTATGAGTGCATGTTGACCTTGTATAGTATAGTATTTTGTACTAATTCATAACATCTTTATTTAGAAGCTACAGAAGAGGTTTCTCTGGACAGTCCAGAAAGGGACCCAATACTGTCTTCAGATCCTTCTCCTGCAATCACTCCTGTAACACCCACTACATTAGTAACTCCCAGAATGGAGTCAAAAAGTGTAACAGCCCCTGTGATTTTTGATAGATCCAGGGAAGAGGTAACCAAATAATTTAGTATTTTAACAGTTTATTTCAAATATTATTGCTGTGATATCTACACATTTAAGTATTTCATATTTAAAATAGCATGAAAAATACAACTGAAGGTATTAATTATGTAGTCTCAATCACAATGACATTCATTCGCATGGGGGGGTGAAATTTATGCAAAATGTTACTGCAGGTTTACTTTCTTCCACTATTGTCCTTGTATTTAAAAAATAATCTTATGAAAATCATTTGTGAGATTCTCAGTCTGTAGTCCCTAAATTATTTTCCTGCTCCCTATATGAACAGCTAATATGCTGATAATATAAAAGTGGAAAAATAAACACATTATCTGGAATAGTTGCAGGCAAATACTGAAGAAATGCTGAGCACCTGAGATTCCCACTGTTATGGTGTAGATTTTAACTTTTAGGCACTGCTTTAGAAATCACAAATGACATTTGTATCAAAAAATGTTGCTACATGACTGATAATCACCTGGATGTCAGAACTTTGGTTTGATAAGATCACCAGTGATGGACAAACTGAATACATTGCCAGACCACCTTAAGAATCTAATCATAGTAGGCCATCAATATCACTTCGTTCAAGAGCAAAGAACTGGTGCTGAACAAATCAGATCCCAGTCATAGCAGTGGAGTTGCAGGAGCTTAGCATGTATCTGTATTTGGCAGATGGAATATCAAATGTGAATACAAAGTATTGGTTTTACAATTGTCTTCATATGTAAATGTTCCAGTACTAAGTGAGATTTCACCAACGTACTAACCTTTGCACTTGCAATACAAGTACTAAATTTAATTCTTTGCACTATAGGTTTGTGTATGTAGCTTACCTAAATCATTCTCTGACATCTGTTTAACTGCTTACACATGTCAGTTGGCAAATATATTTTCTTTTTGTGCTGTATATAATGGTTATAAAGAAGGCCAGGGAGTATGTAACTAGTGTGTGTGATAGAGACAAATATATTCTGCTTCTGGTGGTTGTTGATAGTTATGTTTATGTTAATATAGGTTGACTAGAAAGGGAAATTATATATTTAGTGTATACGTAATTAATTTTCAATGTTTGAGTTCTTAAAGCAAAACATTAATTTAAAATTTCCAGTCTTAAACATTTGGGATTCTCATGAAGATTCATATTTCTTGAAGTAATAGATTCTTTCTCCTGGATAATAGTTTCAAAAATACATTAAATCTAATTTTTTTTTTTTTTTTTTTGAAACGCTGCAGTATCTGAATAATTTACATATCCTCCAGCATGAAACACATGCTGCAAAGGGCATGTCTCTCATGCTGGGGACAAGAAAATATATTATGTGATACTTAGAGTAACAGAGCAGAGACCTCGTGCCAGGACTGCAAGGAAGATGAGTCCCTGGCCACAGAGGAGCCTCACCATGTTGCTAAATGGCTCCTACAACATTGAAAGGAGCATTGCGCAGCTTCAGTATAATGGAAACAAGTGACCTTCGCCTGCCGTGACAGCAGACCTGCAGAACCCCCTGTGCAACTGCAAGGCTAGTTCCTGCAGGCGCAAGGTACATAAGAGAAGCTGTGGTCCTGGTGGGGTAGAGCAGAGACTCCTAGTGAGGACTGAGAGGAGGAGACAGCCAAGCTTGTGGCTACATGGGGAGCCACCTGACTTCTGAATGGCTCCTACCCTCTGTTAGCTGAACTTCTAATTATCCAGTTACAATCTGTGTCCCCAAGCTGTTCTGACAATTGGGAGTGTACTGTGTTCATTTGACAAGTGGCTTTACAAAATGCATTTGTAAACTGCACAGCATGAGTCCTTTTTCCTAGATTGTTTTCTTATCTGCTTTAAACTACTTCTTGGCAGACAGATCTCTCCTTTGATGTGATTCTAGTTTCCCCCATTTCAAACTGGCTTCACTCTTGTTGCCTCTTCTGTTATGACAATGCATGGGTTTCATAAAGGTTTATTACAAGGCCTCATGGCATCTGCATCCTACTACATGGAGTTTAGAAAGTGATTTTGAGTAGTAAACACTTGAGTGGTATCTAAAATACTTCAGTTATCCTTACATACAATACGATGGAATTTAATTTTCTTCCCAATCCAATCTCCCCTTTCTCAATTAAAGGCATCAGAAATTGGTTGAAAAAAAAAATTGAAATTTCTTGACTAATTCTAGATAGATTTATCTTTATATCCAGAAATGTAGGAAAGTGTTTTAAATGAAAATACATCAGTTTTCTTTTAACCGATTTCTTCTAAACATGTGTCCAGTTTGCTTCAAGCTTCCTCTCGAAAAAAATCTCCTTTGGAATAAAATAAGACCTATAACATTTTGTGTAGATAAGGTTTCCTGACTAAATGCCTTTGTGGAAGGATTCAAAATCGTAAAAACTGTTTTCATATTTTCTACTACAATGGGATGGGAGGTGTCTTAGTTTTGCTTTTCTAGATGACACAAATTTTTTCTTGTATTCACAGATTATTTAGTTGGCAAACTATCTTAAATCTGTGAAAGGTAACTCACTAATATACTGTTAATGCCAAACATTCTTCTCTCTAGATTGAAGAGGAAGCAAATGGAGACCTATTTGATATTGAAATCAATGTCTCAGACCCAGAGAAAGTTGGTGAGTTAATATCTCAGACCTAGAGAAAGATGGCATTCTTTCAGCATTAAATTGTACACTTGCTAGCTGAAAAAAATATCTTTTGGTTTTAACATAATTTTGCATGTATTTAAAATCCCAGCATATAAGTGATTCGGAAGACTTGCCCTTGGATTAATTACTTCAACTGTGTATTTTCTTACAGGGGACGGCATGAATGCTTACATGGCATACAGAGTAACAACAAAGGTAACTATTGTTTACTCCTTGTCAACTTGAATATAAATATACAGCATATCAAACAGTATACCTGAGTAGGTGAAAAAATAACTGAACATTAAAATACAACTTTTCTGTGGATTTTTTTAGACATCCCTTTCTATGTTTCACCAAAATGAATTCTCTGTTAAAAGAAGATTCAGTGACTTCCTTGGTTTGCACAGCAAATTAGCAACAAAATACCTGCATGTTGGTTACATTGTGCCTCCAGCTCCAGAAAAAAGTATTGTAGGTAAGCATCATTTCTATAAGGATGAACAAAAATTATCCAGTCTTTGAATTAGCTTTATTTATCTTGCATATAGTCTCTCAAATAAATGCAAAAATTGTAACACATGGTATTTGTAAATCTACAGTTAGTGTCAAAATATCATTTGAACAAAGTATATTGCATAGAATTCTGCCAACTGGTTGAATCTCAGGATCTTGAAAATTAAAATGGGTCCACTGCTTGTAAAAAGACTGTTTTTAGTGCAAGTAGCAATTAGGGATGAGAAGAGAATAGGAACATATGGTATTCAACAATAAACTTAAGTCAAGAGGATGTATATAGAGATACCCCCTTCCTCGAGCACATAGGAAGTGAGGGAGTATAAAAAGGAGATCTGACCTAATGCTTGGCCTCCTGTTTCTTGTCCATCTTCCTAGATTTTCAGCCTAGTCCTTTGAGACATTTTCGTTTAATTTATTTTGTGTTCATTACCATTTGTTTTAAGTAGTATCCCATGTTTGCTATTTACTCCGTCCTAAATCACATGTTCAGCTTTGAATTCCTTGCTAGTATTCATCAACAGACTTTTTCAGTCCTTTTTGTAATGTTTGAAAACACCTCTTAATGTCCCCTTATTTGTCCTAATTTCTAATGAGAATAAAGCATCTCCCTTAAAGTGTGGTTCTGCTTTGAATGGTGACCATGAATGACATCTGTGTCTCCATGGTCCTAAACAGTATTCAGATCTTCAACTGATATAAGTCAGCAGAGGCAATTGAGCACATAGATGCTGGAATAGGTGGTGCTGAGACAAGCTGTTGTACCCCCCGCTTGAAGTGCAACCAGGGTTTATACAGCTATCTAATACTGCCCTCCACTGTACAATTGTTCCAGCATCACTCTTTGAACAAGGATCTACCTCAGTGTGCACTCTCAAAATGATTCTGGTTGCCAGCATCACAAGCTTAGCATTGGAGTAGCAGAGTTTTTCTTTTTGCATCTAATGTTTAAGGCTCTCAAGGCCAAATTAATTTTCCATTACACCCATGCAATGTCATTACATTCAGTGGTTTTACACTGTACAATTGTTCCAGCATCACTCTTTGAACAAGGATCTACCTCAGTGTGCACTCTCAAAATGATTCTGGTTGCCAGCATCACAAGCTTAGCATTGGAGTAGCAGAGTTTTTCTTTTTGCATCTAATGTTTAAGGCTCTCAAGGCCAAATTAATTTTCCATTACACCCATGCAATGTCATTACATTCAGTGGTTTTACATGGGTGTAACTGATTGGAGTTTTAATAAGCAGTCTTCTACACAAGGAGGAATAGAATTCATCTTCCTCTCACGTAACTGTAGTTTGTGTCTAAGGTAAAAAGTAACTTCAATTTTTTTTTTCTCTGAATTGAGTAAATATTGCTGAGTAGGCACAGGAAGCAAGTCTTTACATAAAGATGGCACCATCTTACATATACACAAGTCACTCTACAGTATAGGACTGCATTTTAACTTAACCTCGGAACTTAAATGTCTGATTTCAATAATCTTCACTGGCCTTCTCTAAGGCAATGGTATAGTGACCAGTACTTTTCACTATATTCCAGATGGGTGTCTGAAGTTTGCTGCACTAACAGTATGTAATCTCTTGTGATTCTGTTCCTCTACTGATATAACCTAGCTTTTTATTTGTTTTCTAACTACAACTTTGATCTGGGCTGACTTTTAATTACTCTTCCACTGTAACCACTATAAATCATTTCTGTAGTGTGCTTATATGACTTCCATTTTTATATAAACACTACAGAAGAATAATTTAATCTGCATTGGGGTGATAGCCAGAGAATGGATTCAGTGCAGAATATTTCAATAATTAAACAATGGGTAACTGATGCATCTAGTAATTTTGTTCTAAATATTGACATGGCTGAATCTGTTTGTTGCTCGGAAGTGTGAATTGATGTTCATTTGCTGTATTTCATGCAATAGTCTTGTTAAAACAACAAGAAGTCCTATGGCACCTTAAAGACAAACACATTTATTTGGGCATAAGCTTTTATGGGCAGACACCCACTTTGTCACATGTGCATGGTTTTTGCTCATTGTAACGGAGATGCTCCAGCTCCCCGCTACGAGGCCGCGCCGTCCCCGGCCCTCTGGGGGGAGGCAGCCCTCCACCTGTGGCTCCCACCCCCCC